AAATTATACCCAGAAATTAATTGAAAAGTGTATTTTTTATGCAATTCTCAGCTCGGTTTGAGTTGCAACGCATTTTAATTTTGTTCATATTTAGAGTAGAGCCAATGATCTAAAATTACAATCTAACAAGTTATTGGTCTAGACCGACATTAATTTGGGAAAATTTTATAGACGGTTCATTTTTAACGTCAATAGAAAATAATTCACACACATAACCGTTACGTTTATTTAACATAACAACGAATCATTTACAAAAAAGAATACTTTAGTTACTTAGAAATTTGCAGTATTAACGACATTGGTTTGAGTTGCCGGCGCACGTCAAATAATTTGCATTTAGTTATGAATAGGCTAAAATTAATTACGTATATTTCAAATATCTGATGATGTGTGTGCACAATGTCACGTTGACTTTCTCTGCTGCTATGTTTAAATCATCTCAGAAAATTTAATTTAAATAACTTAAGAAACGAAAAAGATACGAATAAATGAAAATATCTCGTATAAAATAGGAAAGTTAAAATGGCGACGTTCGAAGAATTTGCGGCGTAGTGAACAGGTCACTTAAGTTTCATGACTATTTCGAGATAACACATGTTACGATTTTCAACAAATATACCAAATGTAACAGTTTGGCAACATATCATGAGCATTTGTTTACTAAAGGCATGCACGGAATCAACGTTTTCCGCTACAAAAAGCGAAAATAAGGCAAACACGGAAGACCGATCTTTGTCGCCTATTTCCACAGCTAAATGCAGGTGCAACGAAACCGGAAGTTCGCGTATTGCATTAATGTATGCCATCCAAACATTCAACAGACATTAAAAACCACATGATTTAAGTCTGTAATTGATGGTTTATGGGTACCATTGTTGCGTTTTAAGTCATTGAGAATATTTGAGAAAGGCGTCTTATATATAGATTTAACGCCGTCTTTGACGTTTGACGTGCACCGCGATTCAGTTAGTTGCCATGGAGTTTATGGCATATTTTTGTTGTTTGTTTATATTTTTCTATGTAAATTTGTGTAAATGTTTTAATTATATGGTTTTATAACATATTAAAATATCAAATTCATACCTATTTTATTTAGCTTTTAAACAATCTTATCAGAGAATATTGGGACAACCCACGTAAAATTTTAAAATCCAATGTATTTATGTTACATAAAACACATAAAATAATTTTCATCACGTTATTTTTAAAGCAAACAATCATAAGTTTTTTGTTGCAAATTGCAAGAAATATTTGGGCATTTATTTTGATATTTAAGGCAAAATTGATGCAATGTGATTATACTCGTAATCAAGCGCAAATGAAAAATATTTTGTTGTTGTTTTTGATATTGTTGATGTTTTTGTTTGTTTTGTTTTAGTTTTGTTTTTAAAACATACTATACCCAAGTATTTTAAATGAGCGTATTGTAAAATAGTCAGATAACAATGGTCTTGTCGTGGAGGAGCAAAATGGATTTCGAAAAAAAAAAAAAACAGAAAAAAAAACGAAAAAAAAAAAAAACGCAGTTACATCGATCACCTTTCAAGCATCGCAAGCATAATTTACATGAAATTGAATGAAAAGTAGACATTATGTGCATCAATTTCGCAAGACTTTGTTTTAACCCTATTAATAAAAGTTTGCTTTTGAATAAATTTTTAGGTATTTTCTCTGTAGTAATACTAATAGTGTCTCTAGATGTTTATGTGATAGTGAATTTTATCTGACTGGTTCAGGGCAAGCACTGGTCTACCTCAAGGATGTTCCTTATCTACGAGTTTATTCAATATTTACATCAATAATCTAACAATTTCTCTTATGGTCACATTATGCCTCAAAAATGAATAACTATTTGCTTCTTTACAAAGGGCAAACATTAGTTATATTACATTTAAAAAATGGTTTTATAACATGTTAGATGCTTATCATCTGAAGAAAGTTGCGCTGATTCAGAATGGTGAAATTATTTTCCGAAAAGGAAGCAAAAGATGTAAACAAAGTAGTATCTTGACTTCATTTCAAAATGCTAAATAACTATAACTGTATTTAAAGCAAAAACAGCAACAGAGCTTTTAAAGATGAATTGACAATGGATATTTTTAAACTATTACAGGACAGCAAAAACTAAAATGAAAAGGGAAGATTTTTTGTTTTGTTTTCTTACAGCGCACAAACACAATTTAGGTCATATCACACAGACAGGATTTGAGAAATAGAAAAAAGCATTTCTTGGGATCTATGGGACTTAAAAAGTATTGATAAAGGTATATATAATTGCAATGAGAACATGCGTGATATATTTTACGCAGACGATACTGTTATAGTTGCTGAAAACAAAACTAATTTATAGGTAATGTTAAAGCACTTAAGTGGTCCGTGCCTTTTAAAAGGTGTGTTTTTAAATGCAAATAAAAGTCATGTTGTTCACTTTAGATCTAAGTATGTACCTAGTTCGGACTATGTTTTTAAATATGATATATCAAAAATTGTGTATGCTTACATGCATTTGGTATTATGTAGTCAAAAACGGTCTCGATCAAACAACACGCATGTCATTAAGAAATTATAAACCCGTAGTTTATTCTATTTCGCTAATACGCTCAGTAAAATTATTTCATAATCACAAATTAAATTAATTCACATCTCATGGGATTTACCGAAAACCTGTCAAATATTAATTACATTAAGTGAATTGACCGTAAAATCCGAAATCAATTGACAGAAAAATCAAAAATATATAATTATGCTGAACTCTTATCTAACTGCGCGCTCTAAACCGTATAAGTTGTTTGCATTTTTTAAAAAAAAGATGTTTTATTTATTTAACTTTTAACTTCATGTTAGAAATTGCTTGCTTATCTATTTACTAGTGGTGATAAATGTATAATAGTACTTTTGGGTAACTATTGCTTTTTCTTTATCAAATCATGTCTAGTTTTATTTATCTATTTGTTCCTTTTTTTTATATAATCTTTGATTAGTTACCCATTTAATGTATTGTATTGGCTGTAAAGATCTACAAGGAATATCTAACTTTTATTCACAGATTATGTGTAGAAATTAAAGATATAATATTCATTTCGTTGACTTCAAATAACTTATCCCTCACCGCTGTGAGTTCAAATCTCGTCCGGAACCTTTAAGTCTAATAGTTCTAATCAGGTGCCCACTCGTGTATGAATTTATAAGCGAGGGGGGGGGGGGGCAGCTGAGGTCTTCCTCCACCAGACCACCAGAAAACTGTGGCGTCTATAATCACAATTGTGGCTGTCCGTTCTTCCTTCGTTGTTGACTGTCTACATCAATTAGAGCAAATGCCATTCAGTTGCTTTTTGTGCTATTCTAAGTCCGAAATTAGAATACATGTATTTTTTAAGGTTTAAATGATAAAGTCGCAATTTTACTATTTCACTAAACATAAAAGCTGTTGTATTTGTTTTTTTTATAAACATAAAGATCCCTTGTAAACGATATTTTCCGTGATTTTATCTTGTTTTAAGTTATGGTAAAACAACCCCTTGTCAACATCTTGTTAAAAGAAGGAAATAAAACCATCTTGAATACAATAGAGACATGTAGCAAGTTTTGTTTTAACAATAGTAAATAACTTGTTGACCTAGTTAATGTAATCTACGCGTTCGACTTCATGCAGTTTTCTTGTACATTCAATACTTGATGTTATTTCCATAAGTATAAACAAACATAATATTATTACATTTAAAACATATTTCATTGCTTATATCCAAATAAAACGTAGTAAAAGAAATCCTTTGGCCCATGGCTTCAACTTTGCGTAGACTAAAATAAGCCAAGTACGTCCCTGAATTAATCACCACCCATCATCAAAACAACTGTCCATCCTCACCGCAACCATCATCATCATCATTGTAACCACCACTCCCTCTACCACCATCACCATCATTATTATTACCAAATAATCCCCAACAACATCATAATTACAAAAACAAATATCATTCTCCCAAGAAACAATTGATCATCATCGTCACGACTATCAACACCACAACATTTTCATCACCATCATCATCATCATCATAATCATCATGACTATCAATACCATCATCATCACCACCACCACCATCATCATCACCACCATAATCATCATCATGAGTAACAAAACCATCATCGTCACCACCTCCATCATTAACACCACCATCACCACCACAACCACGCCATCATTATCATCAACAACCACCACCAAATCATCCACCACCACCACCACCATCATCATCATCACCCTACCAACCACTATCATAAATCATCATCACCACCACCAACATCACCACCATCAACATCAGCCACCACCATCATAACCACAACCATCAACATCATCACAACCATCATTATCATCACCATCATCATCATCATCACCACCACCACCACCATCATCAACACCACCATCATCATCATCATCAGCTTCATCATCATCATCATGAATATAAGTATCATCATCATCACCATCACCACCATCATCATCCACCACCATCAACCATCATCACCATCACCAACATAATTATCATCACACCATTACCAGCTTCATCATCATCATCATCATGACTATTCAGTACCATCATTGTCACCTCCATCATCACCACCATCATCATCGTCATCACCATCATGCATCATCAACACCACCACGATCATCATTATAAATCACCGTAACCACCACCATTATCCTCACCCCACCGCCATCACCACCATCATCATCATCTTCTTTTTCTTCATGGTCCATTGCACCATCGTTTTTCAAACTTTTTGTTGAAATATAAGAAATCGTTTTTTTCTTTGCTGTTATGCGGTGGTTACAAAAATTCCGAATACATTTATATCTCCTTTTGTTTCTACTTATCTAAAAATCACCAACGACAAGAGGAATTGCGTGTCGAGTGTACTAGATTTTTTAAACTCATGAACTCCATTGTTAGTATGTTTGTATTGCCTGCGTGTCTTCATTTGAATTCAGAACAATTAGTAAAGGTAAAGCTTCAACAGCATGAGTCTAAGTTGATACAGAATTTGTTTAAGTTGATTGGAATAAAAAATTGGAGACAACACGTATGATGAAGTTCCAATATATCCGGATATTCTAGTGTTAGCTTGTATTCTAGATGATCACGGCATAATCAATGGTCAAGTACATTTGAATTAACTTAGTTTAATTAAGATTCAAAATTTTCAAGTACAGAATTAATGATGTTTATTACTAACTTATAAAAAAACTCCAATATTTTCAACATGTTGTTTAGAGTAAAGTTAAAGTAAAGTAATGTTAAGCAGATGCATTATGTGAAATATTGATAAAAGGAATACTCTTTTTGTCCTGATTATAATACAAATTTGTAAAAATATATATTAAATCAAAAACCTCTCAAACAATGAAACAAAATTTATATATGCATAAAATAGTATCTATTATATAAATATATTCAAATGGCTGAGCAGGAGCAATGTGAAAAACAGACTCCGTCTTCTATTGTTTTAATGATTAAAATGCCAAAATATTTCTTTAAAACTTTAAGACGATATGTCGCACATGTATAAAATTGCAAAGAAGTTCTTTAAGTCATTGAAACTATATTACGATTTTCTAGATTGAAAAATGAACGTCAACTTGTTATTTTTAGGATTTTTGCGATACGCACGATCATTCTCACATTGTGACAGTAGAGTCTCGTTCAGAGGAATTGTTTCTCCGTGATCAGTGCCAACGTTTATTCAAGACAGGTTTCCACTTTTATTTATTTCAATTTAATTACAAATTTTAATGGCGACAAAGTATATTTAATATTTAAGAAAGCGCACATTGAACACTGTTGATGTGTTATATTAAAGATACAGTTGCTACTGCGTGTGTAATATGAAATTGACAAGGAACTTTTGGACTCGGAATATGAAAACGAGGCTTGATAGAGTACAGTATGAATTTGATATTGATGTTTTGGCTTAGGAAAATGAAAGTGAGGCTACATTGAGTACAACTGTCATTTTAAACGGTTTTTTTTTGTAATGAAAACGAGGCTCAATTGATAAGGTTGGTCCAAGTATGATTTATATTGGAACATTAGGTCGTTCAGATAGTTCATTTAAAATGTTATTATAGAAATTTACAGTGAACACCAATGTTTAACTTGTAATCATGAGTGGATTCAGTGTTTCTGATTGTCGCTGAGTTTAGGATTAACATGTTAAAAATGAATTTTATACAAGAAATGAGGTTTATACACATAGGTCTAGTATTTATTCGTAACTATCATTGAAATATTTTACAGGAGCTTCGAGGTCTAATTGGTTTTGGGTTGGGGCAACAGACGTCGCAATTGAAGGAATATTGGCCTGGTACACAAATCATAAACCAATCACTGATGGATACACCAACTGGTATCCAGGGCAACCAACTAATGCAAATAATCAAGATTGTGCCGTTCTTTGGGGAAAATCTGGTTATACCTGGCACGATCACCATTGTGAACTGAAATCACATGTTATGTGTGAGAAAAAGCAAGTAAGACGATGTATTTCTTTTAAATTATAAAATAAAAATATAAATATTATAATCATTGTATATTATAATCATTGTATGATAGTTACTCTTTTCTTAAAAAATCTGATTATGGTTTCAGATATATAATTGTTTAACATCGACTTAAATAAGCACAATTACTTTTAAAGAACTAAAACATTTAAGTGAAACTTTATATAAGCATTAAACCATACATCATTTTTGTGTTTGAAAAAGAAATCAGTACAAATTAACATTCATTCAACCAAATATTTAATAACAATAACTGTACATGTATTGTTACTTTACAAGTACATTAATGTTTTTGTCTAGCACAACCACGGCTAAAGAGCAAAAAAGATTCTGGTTGATGATATACACGAAACACAGAAGAATTCGTTAATATTTATTTGTTCTGAAAACAATCAATGTATAATGATTTAATTACGACTCAATTTTATGATTATCTTATTCTTTTCAAACGATGAACTATGAGTAAATATATTTGTGAAAAAGTCAATTAATCAATTTTGAAATGAAAACTGATACTTGTGTTGCTTATATATTAACAAACATGCTAAGAGTGTTGAGAATTCTTAATTATCATGTCATTTATCAAGTATTTCACCCTTGTCTTTCCCCTAACAGCTACAGAAAACGTTCATGCGTTTAACTAACTGAGTGCTTTTATACAACTTAACCAACTAAATGAGTATTTCAGTAATATGGCTTCTGGAAATATGCTTGATATAAAGCAAAATACAATTCATCTGAAGAAATATGGTCTAAAAAAGCAAAAGGTTGAAAAGTACGTATTTTAACAAGAGTTTTATTATACTTACTTTCTCGTATTGTAAATACATAAGGCACACAATTCGAAAAATTTAACTTTGAATATAGGAAACTGGAAAATACAAGTTAATTTCCTACGATTTAATGGGTATGAAAAAACTTTTCTTTTGATAATGAATGGTACTTCTTTCATACATGGAAACGAGCAATTCACTATCCACTTCCACTAGTGCCAACATATTTTTGTATTTATCATCTATACATAGTACCTTATAATTGTAGGCGAGGTTTGAAATATTATTTATTGATAAATTCTTTACCGGGACAATGTGTAAGAAGTCATTCTAAAAACTTTTCTAGATTATACACCCTGGCTCTCCCTCACAGTGAGTACGATGACCACAAGCGTATAATGATCATTCGAAGTTGTTTTATGTATCAAATAATTTATTTCTTTGCAACATCACTACTAAAAGGCGAGTTTTCAGCTGTACTGGTGTAGAAAAACCGCGCATCATTTTGGGCACGAAAGAGCACATGAGTAGAAACCACCGAATTCCATATTTTAAGGGCGGAGGGCCCCCAAAACAAAAAAAGAATCCAAATATCCCGGGTTTGAAACCCGACCCACAAGCAATGGGGGGCCCATATGGTAGGGGGCAAATCCATAACTCCTGGGCCAAAGGGAAAATAACTCAGGGCCAAAAAAAAGGTTGGGTGCTTTGTTTTTTAAAAAAAAAATTTTTTTTTTGGGCCCTGTTTTTTGTTAAAATGGCATCGACCAAATATTTAAACATGAAATATTCTTTTTAAATGTTTAAATTTTTTGGGCCCAAAATAAAAAGCATCATTTTTAAAAGAAACCCCCAAAAATGTCTACAGAAGCCATCAAAATTTAAATAGTTGTTTTTCAAGGTTTGGAAACAAAAAATAAAAATTTAACAAACACAAAAAACCCCGGTTTTTGTTTTTATATAAAAAATATACTTATTAACAGAGCTGTAGCAATGTTTGAAATCAAATTTAAAATCTGACGTAAAACTTCGGTGTTCCGTTTGGTCAATCGTGATTTTTTTCATTTCGTCCTTACCCGCGATGCACGATGTTATGATTGTGAAAACACGATGTAACAATGGTGAAAACACGATGGTACGATGGTGAAATCGCGATGTCGCGATGGTGGAAACGCGATGTCATATCACGTTTTCACCATCATACCATCGCGTTTTCCCCATCGTACATTCGCGCCACCGTGTTTTCACCATCGTACCATCGCGTTTATACCATCGTGCCATCGCGTTTTCACAATCGTACCATCGCGCTTTCACCATCGTGCAATCGCGTTTTCACCATTGTACCATCGCACTTTCACCATCGTACCATTGCGATTTCACCATCGTACCATAGCGTTTTCATCATCGTGCTAACGCGTTTTCACCATCGTACTATCGTGCCATCGTGTTTTCACCATCGTACCGTCGTGCATCGCGGATACAAACTAAATAAAAATCACGATTGTCCAAACAGAACACCGTATAAAACCCTTCCTTCACTTTTTCAACTTACATTAATAGAAGTCTTAGAATGAGATCCTGTAGTATTTTGTTTACTATTATAACTTTTACTATTATTATTATTATTATTATATTACTATTATTATCATCATTATTTTTATTATTATTAGTATTATTATTATTTCCTCTCTATACGTTGAAATCAAATATTTGCATTATTCACAATAAAATAAATGACTAAATGCTTTTCTGAAACATATTGCTTATATATGGCTACTTTAATTAAAGGTATATAAACACGATTATTGTACGAAAAACCATACCAGAGTTGTCGGCCTTTGATTTAAGATAAGCAACAAACGATGATTATCTTTAAAATAAAGTAACAATCAGGTCAATATATTTTCATTTTTTGTTTCATTTATTTTATTTTCATTTTTTGTTTCATTTATTTTATTTAATTTTTATTAGTATTAACATTAATATTATATATATTTATATTAGAACTTATATAAACCATTTCTGGTTTAAAATATTTTGAATTATGCGAGACATTTGTCCAACCATTATAATAGTCAATCAATATATTGTATGTTTACATTGGATTTAATAACTTGAGATTAAACAATAATAGTGACCCCGCATACATAAACACAAGGTAGAGAACATTTTGTACATTTTTTTACTTTTGTTTAAAGGTCAAATTCGGACATGTAATGTCCACACTCACTATTAAGATTTTAACCGATATTCGTAGAGTAAGTTTAAAAAATATCTACAACAATGTAGCAATACAACTTGGCAGTTACGTCATTTTTGGCATCATTTCCAAGACAAACATCGCCCACTTTGAAGGGGAAATAGCCATATATCCCCGTAGAATTGCACATATCCCAAAGAAATTTGTGCAAAAATAAAATACTTTAGGTTATTTACCCGTTCGAAGTGAACGACATTTGTCTTGGAAATGGTGCCAAAATGATGTCATGATCACGTGGTATTGCTACACTGTAGAAGGAAGACTGACAACCCTCTTCATTTTTTTCGTGTAAGTTTTATCTACAATTTCATAAGTTGTAGGGTAAAAAACTGTTAAAGTCGTAAACGATCATTTGGAGAATGTCGGGAATGGAGTACTTAAGAGAATTATAATTGTGATAATGTTACCTATATTGTAAAGACAAGAATTAACCAACTATCCATATGTTTGAAAATAAAACCCACAAACATTCTTTGTACTTAAGCTATACTTTGAACAAAGTCATTATTATCATTTTTTCTGAAATGACGTTAAGAATGTTCATTCAATTATACATACATACAAATTCTTGAGACATGCTTTTAAAAAAAAATGACACACTTTACTACAGATATCATTATCATAATTGAAATTGATCAAGTAATTGTTTTGCAAGAAAAATACATATCGCATCTACATAAATAATGTTGTCTTTATATTTTAGCTGCTTATTGCTTTTATAATTGATTTTGTATGTGCTTCACAAGGTCATCATAATATTTACCCTACAATTTACACTCGTCTAGAAATATTAAGTTCATTTTTTAAAATGAAATTATGTTTTCAAAATGAACAGAAAATCGGACTTGGCTTTTAACACAATAAAAAGAAAGAGCACCACGCTTTCTTTTCTTACTGAAATTGGCTATAACACAATATAAGATATAAAAGAAAGAACACCAGACATTCCTTACTCGACAGTATTACACGGAGTCTAGGTTCCTTCTTACAAATCAGATAACTTCATCTTTCAAATATTTTCCTACTACTTATTTATAACGCAATATAGATAACAAATGAAATTTATTCTTCTTTGACATTGCGATTGGAAATGTTGGTACGTTTTGGCTCCTGAATCTTATAAATAGAAGTTTTGATTGGCCAAGAAAAAACTTGACAGATAAATTGTTTGAGCTGTTGTCAAATACCGGTACAGATATTTTTTGTCCAGTAATCCGGAACATTTTTTGTGGGAAGTTCAAAGCTGAAAGTGGACTTGTGAATCATCCAATATTTCCAGGAGATCTTTTTGCTTAAGGGGTATATTTCTACTTTCAAAACATAAACATTATGTCCATGTAAAATTGTGGTTGTCCGCACTTCCTTCGCTGATGGTCTACCTGAATTAGATCAATTGAGATTCAGTTGCATTTGATGCTATTCTAAGCCCGAAACAAGTTAAAAACGTTCATTTTTGCACTTGGTGTATTAATTCTTTACATTCGGATATTTTCATTTATTTGTAAAACATGACCCGACAGGTGTTCCGTACTTTTAAATATACTTTTAATACTATTAATTAATTAATTAATTAATTAATTAAAATGATTATTCTGGAATAAAGGAATAACCAAATGATCTGAGATTTTGCACGCAAATTATTTGTTCAACCTTCATCAAATGTTTATAAAGCTCGGAAGAAATATTTCCAGTTCATAATGTCAAAAAATTTCAGATGAGTCTTTAAATTTCGTTGAGAGTCATGTCAGCATTTGTCTGACAATCATCTAAATTACGGAAATCATTAACATATTGAATGAATCAATTACTTCATTGTCTGCCAAACAAAGTTAAAAGAATATCATGATAATATTGTTTTAATAATAAGGTTAAAATGCTTTGTCGCAAACCAGTCTCATTCAATTATGTTCGTGTCAAAACCATGCTGTAAGTCTAAGGATTTAATTAACCCACTTGTGCCAGTCTTTATGTTTGACGATGATTGTAACAAAAACTGATAAACTGCCATAGAGTCATTTCGCGATGCCCAAAATAGTGCATGAGGAAAACCTTGATTTGTTAGGACATGCAAATGTATATATCGAAAAATAAACTAACATTTCGACAATGAAATACAATGTACAAAATAATAACATCAACATTTGAATATATATTTCTAAATGCTGTAAAAATCTACTAAATATATCTTATGGGCAAATTAACATATTGTCAATGGTAAAAGGTCAAAAGAACGTTTATTTTTACATTTTGCTTTTATAGTACTGAAAAAAAAATTAAAATGTAGGTAACGATTTTAGACAGTATAAATTTCTTTCTTGTCCATGTAACAGGAAAAATGAACAGGACATGTATTAGCATACCACTAGAGTTTAATACATCTTGTTTCCTTTATCAAATGTCGCTTCCTTGTCACAAATTTCAATTAATCAGTTCAATAGAAATGAAATTATTTTCGTATGTCCTCCATCTTCGATTTTATCCGTTGACTATTTGTTATTGATTGTTTATTGAAAAGGTGTTCAATATATGGATTAACGATAGACCGGGTATACAAAAAAGTTTAAAAAGGAGTACTACAAACAGAAGTGGTATTGATCATTTTTGATAGGTATTGGTACAATATATGGTTGCTGCATGGTTGACGTTAATACCCCAGATCGATAAAACTTTAATTTTATATTATTGTTATAAGAGTACATCTTACTTATAAATACGTTCAAGTATTAATTAGTTGTGGCAGTTGTACAAAATCCAATGTTAAGTAAAGTTCTTCTCTAAAGTTTGGATATCATACACCATAGTCAGGTAAAGGTTTACCATCTCATAGCTATAGAAGTTGTTAACTTTGAAACTAACATTATCAATTGTTAAGGGTTTAATTGAAAGATAAACTTAAATGGCTGCGTTGTTTTAAATTACATAATACTGTTGTTTTGTTTGTATAAATGTTGTTATGCATGTAAACAAACACCATTCAGTCAATTTATTAAATGGGGGCAGGTGAAACAGGAAACTGTTCGATAGATAATACATTGTAATAAAGAATTAATCTAAAATTAATATTTTGTGTGATCTTTAGCCTAATTTGAGTAAAAATAAACGTTTCAACGCTGTTCATTCTGTAGTCATTTAACAATAGAAATAGATATTATGAAAATTCTGAAATAATCTAAATATACATGTTTGAAATATAAAAAAAAGAACTATTTTATTTTTGTACTGTTTAAAATCATGGAAATGCATCCGCAAAAATTTAACAATTTTCATATAGACGTCTTACTACTCTAATATATCACTTCCCTGTATAGTAATGGTTGATTTTTCTTTTAGAATTTGACTATTAAACATGGGGAAAGGACACGGAGAACACCCTCCGAGAAAGTAAGAATATATTTAAGCATGTTTATGAATTACGATTGATTTGTTTATCGGACTATTAAGCAGTTCTTTATCTTATTTTATAAAAGGGATGATTTCTTTATTAACCGTCTCTGAAACTTGCATAATTATGTTTGTTTTGTAAACTTTACTAAATACCGCGATATTTTCGCTTTGCATAAAATGTAAGATGAATAACTGTTTTTTCAAAAGTTGATTTGTAGAAGAGGTTTATTAGGTAGAAATATATCAAACAAATAAACCTATAATTTATATACCATTTAATCATTTAATGTTGTTCTTTTTTATAGTTTTACTGCCATTGATTTACAAAGTAACGGAGGCTGTCAATTATATTGTATCAAATATTTGTTGCAGGTTTGTTGGTGACCAGTATTTTTGTGAGGTGTGTATATTTGGTTTCATGGCAGCAAGTATATCACTGTCCAGTCTGAGCGCCGGTATGGATGATGGGGGAACATTTCCCTACCAATACTTCTTCACTGGATTTATTTTAGGAGCTATCGTAAGTTAAGAATAATATAAAGTCATGATTGATGGTCGTCTAAATGAACAATTTTGGTCAGTTCTTCTAAAGGTTTCAAAAATTTGTAGTGACAAGATTGATTCTTAGGATAGCCCTATAGTGTTGGCGTAAAAAATAAACAAAGAACTCTTGGTGCATCACATATTTTGCACGATTATTATACGGCAGTCCTGCATATTTATTTTCTGTTTAAATTATGCAAGATACCTTGAGTAAAGTGCCTTTGATAAATAGTCTTTGACCGACGATTTATCTAAAAATTTCTTGCCTATCAGAAAGGATTTTTTGATGTTTTCACCGGTGCTATGAAACATGTCTTACACACACATATCATAGAATGTATGAAAAACCGCTGCCACATAAGGAAATGTCTAGTTCTCAGGAAATGGTTCAGCAGTAACTCGACAAACTCTTATAACAAATGTGACCTTAATTTATTTGTGATCAAACAATTTAGAAAAAAGTACAATAACTGCAATACGAGTTTATTACATCACATAGAACCTTGTCGAAATATGAATTATATAATTAAAAATAAAATAATATTTCAATATTTTTTCCGCAGCTTCTCGTGAACCTAATATCAAGAATATATGTTGTCAACGCTGTTGAGAAGAAAGGAGTGACCAGAAAGAACATAATAAAAATACTGACGAAAACAACAATTGGTGTAAGTTCTTTACTGTTTTCAAATACCACGTCAAATGTCAATAAATCTACTCTAATTTTGTTTTTGAAAAAAAAAGTTTTTCGAAATTGTTCAATTGTGATTCTTTCTGTAATGCAACTTATTGATATTTTCTAGAATATTATCTGGCCATGGACCTGCAGAGTTGGAATGTTATGGTGTATTCCTGGTATACTTCTTACTGCAATAGGTGGTGTTAATTGTGGAATAGATAAAAAAGAAAATAACACTGTTGTTGTGAGAAACACTTGCTACTATGATATCGAAGGCGAACGGGGAGATATGTACAGAGGCCTTGCAATTGGCCTGCTTGTTGTGCATATATTTTCATTTATTTACTTGCTTTTAAGTAACTGTCCGGTACACACAGTCCTAGAGCAAATAAAAGAAGATCCAAAACCTGCCAGAAATAACACAAATAGACCTAATGCACAGCCTTCTACCAACACAACAGCTCCAGCTGCGAGTACAAGTGCTAATTCGACGAGTGCAAGCGCTAATACAAATGGTGCAAGTGCTGCAGGGACAAGAAATACTAGAGAGTTGGTAGAAACGATTGAACGACTAGAAACTAGGATTAGAGAAATTGAAAACAGGGAAACTACTCGCGTACAAGCGTTTAGTTATAGTGGAATTTCTGAACCACCTCCTTACAGTCAGCTTATGGAAGAAACATCTATAGAAAATAATTCAAGGACACATCCTGTTTAAACATTTCATTGTTGTGATATTCACTTTTGTCTTTGTTCGTTTGAGACTCCCTATGTAGGATTTTGCTACCATAGTAGGCCTCATCGCACCCAAATCCTGAGACATATCAGGTCCGATTCTAGTGAAGTTCTTGTAGGACGCCGGATCCTCAGCAACAAGTTCGTCAATGAGAGCCTCATACTGGCCATGAACATGTCTTCGTAAAATCCAATTTCTGGTCAAACATCTCCCCTGATTAAATATGTAATCATCAATGAAAAATGTTGATCAATACTGCTTCTCTTTTGATTTTAAATTTGGTTGCACATTTTACAATTATATTAATTATCGTGAATGTTCTGTTTTAATAATATGTAAACAGTTAATGTTATTGTCATTCAAAGCCTTCGGTCTATGTACATATTTGCTCCAATTTCCCGATCCAATGTTTTGTAGAATATTAAACTTTTATAAGGAAATGGGGATCATCCTTTGCAAAAGTAAGTACATTATGTACATTACATAAAGTAAATAAAAAGCATGGATAAGCAAATAGATTACAGATGTAAAAATGAAGTTACCTTTATTTTATGATCGGCTATAATATACAATCTCAATTCGACATAATTTCAGATATTATATTTATTATTTAGTCAGACTGACCCTATTCATTTTTTTTTTTTTTTTTTTTTTTTTTTTTTTTTTTTTTTTTTTTTTTTTTTTTTTTTTTTTTTTTTTTTTTTTTTTTTTTTTTTTTTTTTTTTTTTTTTTTTTTTTTTTTTTGTCATGATATGTTTAATGTACAGCAAACTTACAGAACGCAAGTGGTCGTACTCTGCTGCCCGTTTCCCCCGAAATAATGCATGGTGCAGTACCACCAGTACCAATAAAACACAAACAAAGTATATATTTTTACTTAAGAATACATATTGAAGAGTTGACAACAATGTAGTTCAAATAAATAAAAGTGAAAAAATTTATTTGAAAGTTTACACCTATCATTTTGACACTTCACATTCTATATAATGAAAATTATTTTCAACAATAAACGGTATATCAAAAACGCGTAGTATTAATCAGAATTTAAAGGTCAATGTATGTGCAATGCAAAGGAAACTATTCTATTATTCAATCACCGAAGCAAAAGTTTCAAAAATTCGTGTACATTTCTAGGAACAATGAATTAAATTTTCAGCATGAATGTTCCTATCCATAGTAGCCATATTGTAACTGTACATGAAGGTGCAGTGAAATAGAAGCATCGGTGTTAGACACATTTTTCCCGCCATAACTTACATGCTTTTGCACCACTATAACTATGTTTGTGGGTTTTTTTTTCGTCTTTTTGAAAGGAAAAACCATTTAAGACATAAATACAGTATAATGTGACAAATTTAGTTTTAGTTTCTGTAAGCATGTTTTATTTGCATAAGTATTTCATTGGATATTTAATTCCCTTCAAATTGTTACTAATTAATCCGTTTAAATGCATTAACATCTAAATCGACATATACTATCTGTGTTTGGTTTACATCTTTCATGGAAATTAAAATTAGAAATGTGTATTTATTTCAGATATAATGAAGGTTAAAAGTGAAATAAATTAATTACAGGACTAGTAAGAATGGTTATCAAGTGAATACAAACCCTCCAGTTATTTTGAATCACAAATCTCACCAGACTTTAGTCATTTTCCATCAATTCGTTATATTATACAAGTGTGATGTAAAACTAATTCCATTCAGTGTCAGTGATGTAAAAATATTTTAGCTGAGCTCCGGGCAAGAGGGGCTGCACTCACACCCATTGTTCAGTGTTCAGTGTCAGTGATGTAAAACTATTTGAGCTGAGCTCCGGGCAAGAGGGGCTTCACTCACACCCATCGTTCAGTGTCAGTGATGAAAAACTATTTTAGCTGAGCTCCGGGCAAGAGGGGCTGCACTCACACCCATCGTTCAGTGTCAGTGATGTAAAACTATTTTAGCTGAGCTCCGGACAAAGGGGCTGCACTCACACCCATCGTTCAGTGTCAGTGATGTAAAACTATTTTAGCTGAGCTCCGGGTAAGAGGGGCTGCACTCACACACATCGTTCAGTGTCAGTGATGTAAAACTATTTTAGCTGAGCTCTGGGCAAGAGGGGCTGCACTCACACCCATCGTTCAGTGTCAGTGATGTAAAACTATTTTAGCTGAGCTCCGGGCAAGAGGGGCTGCACCCTTTATACAAATCGTTCAGTGTCAGTGATGTAAAACTATTTTAGCTGAGCTCTGGGCAAGAGGGGCTGCACTCACACACATCGAGTCAGTGCAGTGTCAGTGATGTAAAAATAATTAAGCTGAGCTCTGGGCAAGAGGGGCTGCACTCACACACATCGAGTCAGTGCAGTGTCAGTGATGTAAAAATAATTAAGCTGAGCTCTGGGCAAGAGGGGCTACACTCACACACATCGTTCAGTGTCAGTGATGTAAAACTATTTTAGCTGAGCTCTGGGCAAGAGGGGTGGCACACACACACATCGTTCAGTGTCAGTGATGTAAAACTATTTTAGCTGAGCTCCGGGCAAGAGGGGCTGCACTCACACACATCGAGTCAGTGCAGTGTCAGTGATGTAAAAATAATTAAGCTGAGCTCTGGGCAAGAGGGGCTGCACTCACACACATCGTTCAGTGTCAGTGATGTAAAACTATTTTAGCTGAGCTCTGGGCATGAGGGGCTGCACTCACACACATCGAGTCAGTGCAGTGTCAGTGATGTAAAAAATAATTAAGCTGAGCTCCGGGCAAGAGGGGCTGCACACTCACACACATCGTTCAGTGTCAGTGATGTAAAACTATTTTAGCTGAGCTCCGGGCAAGAGGGGCTGCACTCACACCCATCGTTCAGTGTCAGTGATGTAAAACTATCTTAGCTGAGCTCTGGGCAAGCGGGGCTGCACTCGAACACATCGAGTCAGTGCAGTGTCAATGATGTAAAAATAATTAAGCTGAGCTCTGGGCAAGAGGGGCTGCACTCACACACATTGTCAGTGTCAGTGACGTAAAACCATTTTAGCTGAGCTCTGGGCAAGAGGGGCTGCACTCACACACATCGAGTTAGTGTCAGTGATGTAAAATATTTTAGCTGAGCTCCGGGCAAGAGGGGCTGCACTCACACACATCGTTCAGTGTTTCTGACGTAAAACCATTTTAGCTGAGCTCCGGACAAGAGGGGCTGCACTCACACACACTGTTCAGTGTCAAAGAAGTAAAACTATTTTAGCTGTGTTCTGGGCAAGAGGGCCTGCACTCACACACATTGAGTCAGTGTCAGTGATGTAAAAATATTTTAGCTGAGCTCCGGACAAGAGGGGCTGCACTCACACACATCGTTCAGTGTCAGTGATGTAAAACTATTTTAGCTGAGCTCTGGGCAAGAAGGGCTGCACTCACACATATCGAGTCAGTGTCAGTGATGTAAACTATTTTAGCTGAGCTCTGGGCAAGAGGGGCTGCACTCACTCACATCGAGTCATTGTCGGTGATGTAAAAATATTTTAGCTGAGCTCTGGGCAAGAGGGGCTGCACTCACACACATCGAGTCAGTGTCAGTGATGTAAAACTATTTTAGCTGAGCTCCGGGCAAGAGGGGCTGCACTCACACACATCGTTCAGTGTCAGTGACGTAAAACTATTTTAGCTGAGCTCTGGGCAAGAGGGACTGCACTCACACACATCGAGTCAGTGTCAGTGATGTAAAAATATTTTAGTTGAGCTCTGGGTAAGAGGGGCTGCACTCACACACATCGAGTCAGTGTCAGTGATGTAAAACCATTTTAGCTGAGCTCCGGGCAAGAGGGGCTACTCTCACACACACCGTTCAGTGTCAGTGACGTAAAACCATTTTAGTTGAGCTCCGGGCATGAGGGGCTGCACTCATCCACATCGAGTCAGTGTCAGTGACGTAAAACCATTTAAGCTGAGCTCTGGGCAAGAGGGGCTGCACTGACACACATTGTTCAGTGACAGCGATGTAAAACTATTTATGCTGAGCTCCTGGCAAGAGGGGCTGCACTCACACACATTGTTCAGTGACAGCGATGTAAAACTATTTTAGCTGAGCTCCGGGCAAGAGGGGCTGCACTCACACTCATTGTTCAGTGACAGCGATGTAAAACTATTTATGCTGAGCTCCGGGCAAGAGGGGCTGAGCTCACACACATCGAGTCAGTGTCAGCGAACTGATGGCTGCTGACCAATAATTAATAACAACAGAGCGTAGTCTGTCTGCAAAAAAAATCACAAGTATCATTAACAAACTGTTTATGATATTTAATAGAAATAATTTAAATAATGAACATGTTTCCAAAGAGATAGCAGATGATCATTCCATAGTACATGTTTATAAAATATTTTTTTTATAATGCTACTTACAAGTCTTGATGATCTTTTTTTTATTTTTGAACACCTTGTTGCATTTTATTAACCTTTTTTGTAATACTTGCTAAACATGTTTGTGAACTGCAATAAGTAAATAATTTTTATATGAATGGTTTCGATCACAATATACTGTATTAGGCATGTTAATGCTATGTTTACAATACCATATGACAATTAATATCTAAATGTGACCGGAATCATTCAACACATAGTTGCTTTAACATAGAAATGTGTAGTAAACTTCTTTTAACGTTCCCTTTATATCTTATTTTTTGTTTCTTTTAGCGTACTAATCTTATGAACTAATTTTCTGTCTCAAACTTGTTTATTCATTGTTTTCCTTTACCTGTAAATAGCGAATGTACAGTGACCTTGCAAAATTCATTTTTTTTAAATTTTCGCCCATTGTGTTCTCAGTAAGGGCAAAAAACTTCCAAACGCTGCTTTTCGTGGCAAAAGACGAATTTGTCTACTTGCAGGTGCCATTTTAACTAAAGTTTGAACACATTTTTATGCTTTAATGTTAAAATTTTGCCTAGGGGGCGTAGACGGTAGCTTGCATTTTTTAGTACCCTCTATGATCAGACTCAGTTAAAACCAAGTCTGCACTATTTTTTTCCTCAATTCTGTCGTTTTGGACGTTCTTAGGGATTCTTTTTTTCCTATTCTACTTTCCAAAGATATTTTATTGGCTATTATATCTGCGCTATGAATAAACATGTATTTGCGCTATAAATGATTAATTTAAACAGTTTCCGCCTTCCTGTCACTTCGTTTATGTTTCTGAAAGGGTCACCCTCATACCCTCATTAACAATATTAGAGGAACGTGTATGTTCATTGGGCAGGTAACTGAAAAAACCTGTTAACTTTTCCCATTAATAAAAATTAAGCAAACGTGTTTTATATTGTATAATGTCATATGGCGACTACGGATGAAGGTCTCGGTGCCTTTCTAGTCCTCATTTCAGGAACGATCACTCTTCTAAGAAGGCCAATAAATGAGATAATTAATCAAATAATTATGTTGGTTAACTTTGCTTTTCCAGCATTGAAACGGGATACGGAATGGTTTAAGCTCTTTAAAGCATTATTTGAATGCTCTTACAATATGGTATTTTATAACTTTGTCCTCGTCAATATGTATTCCAATATTGTACACTCTAGCGTAGAAATAGGCTTAAATAACGACATATTAGAACTGTTTCTTATCTTTGTACGACTAGTGTCAAGTTTGCGATAGATGTCAAAGTTTATTAAATGATTAGAGCATTTTGGTATGATCATTTAGTTTGTACAATGAAAGTACTTTATTTGTATACAATAATTGCATATATTCTTGTACAGTGTAGGATTTTCGTGGGTAAATTAGATTATTTTCAAAGCTATCTTATTAAATGAAATATGTTGTTTGTTTTAAAAACTTACTTAATTTTAGATCAGTAGCACCTAAATAGCAAAATTTCAAATTCCGTCTATTGCGTGTATTTATTTTAAAAAAGAGAAATTAAAAGTTCAATGAGTTGTAAAAAGGCTTGCCATTATCTCAGTTTTATCAAAAACACAGGTGCATGTTGTGAAAATGGGTGGATAACATTCGAAGAATCTTGCTATCTATTTGACGAAGACCATCAACTTAACTGGACAGAAGCAACGGTACGTTTCAAATAATTAGTAAGATAGATATACACTCAGCAGTGTATCTATGCTTTTGTAGTTATTTGTATTTGGGAAAGCTAACAATATTTTAAAAAATACTCATTATGTTACACCAATCAAGAAATTAAAGATTTTTTCAACTAATCATCAAATTTATGAGTGATATACACATATTAACATGAAAAACAAACTCTTTATAATATTTTACGAATGCAATGACTTCAGAAGAAAGAACAGTTTTGTTAAGTTCCTGACAGTTATAAAAATATACCCTTTAATAGTCTAACAATCGCCTATTGCATTTTTGTTCTATGTATTTCATCATTTGATATATTTGTACTGAAATATTCCCGTATGAATTGTTTGAACAGAATGATGAATACATGCATTCCTGTAAGTTAAACGTTGAATCTAGAATGTATGATTTTGTCATTTAGTGAGAAACATTAAAAATCTGTATAAAGTGTGTTCCCTCGGAAGCATTTAACACAACAAAATTACATGAAATCACAGACTCGGTTTGATTGAGTCTGTACATGAGGAATAATGATAATGTGCAACATCCCTCACGCCTCTAGCACCAGCTTGAGGTACTCAATTATTAACACTTAATAGTGATGGCGTCAATGATCAAAACATCTTGTCAATTTTAAATCCAGATTGTATTGTATCATACTTGTCCTTACAAACTCGGAACAAGTTTGCATATACTATTTCAGCAAACTTGTGCATCTTATGGTGGTTCGCATGTGGTGACAATTGAAAACCCAGATGAATTTTCATTTCTTCAAAACCACAGCAAGCGATTGTTTAAAGACGGTTAAGTATACTCTTTCATGACTTACACGATAGATATATTAAGAATTGAACACATCGCAGAGGTTCTTATTATATTAAAGTGATAGATAGGACAGACAACTGTCGTCCGACTATTGTTTTGTGATGGCTTGACAGTCTCTATGATAGTTAGAAAATCACACGTGGTGTGTGTATAATTTCGTAGGCCTCAAATCATATGTTACTTCTTTACCAGTAGAATATCTTATTTTGTCTGTATTGTTAATGACTTTATTCATTGTTTAATCACTTGTCTGGATATATTTAGTGTTGGAACCTTCTTTAATCAGTGAAACAGTATTACAGTATCTATAAATTCTGGATGGAAAAGAGTCTCCGAGACCAATGACAAGACAAGCAATTTCCCGAGCTTTACATTTTCGATTGATTCAGTCAGTTCATGTGAGGAAATGTAAAGTGAATCATTCTTTGTGTCTTTTATGCAGTGTTTGAAATCTTAACCACTTAGAATTTGAACCAGTAATGAGAATGATCCAGAAGTACCAGAACTATATAACGAAACTGTGATTAAGTGTGAGGAACTATATATGGTCGCATATAAATTCATTTTGAGTTTTATTTAGTTTCATGAAACACATCAGATATATTTGTCCCTTTAAAATAACATATCCTAGTGCAATTTAATATTTTTCATAACAACAGCCACCAAAAGAGACAACTGGTTTTGGCTGGGTGCAACAGATGGAGAGATTGAAGGAATATGGGTATGGTATACTGACCGCACACTCCTCTCCAATGGTTATACCAATTGGTATCCAGGGCAACCAGAAACGAGTGATAAAAATAACCAAGACTGCGCATGCCTTTGGGGTCATGAATCATACACATGGCACGATTATCACTGTGACCGAAAATCATTTTTCATTTGTGAACAGAGGTACGGATGTGTTATAACTTCTATTACCTTCATCGTCACCTTTTGGGGGCTTAGCTGTGAGACTTTGTCATAAAGGGACTGAACTTTCTATATGAGCCGCGTCACGACAAGACCAACATAATGGGTTTGCTACCAGCATGGATCCAGACCAGCCTGCGCATCCGCGCAGTCTGATCAGGATCCATGCTGTTCGCTTACCAACCCTATTACAAGTAGAGAAACTGATAGCGAACAGTATGGATCCTGATCAGACTGCGCGGATGCGCAGGCTGGTCTGGATCCATGCTGGTCGCAAACCCATTATGTTGGTTTTGTCATGACGCGGCTCATATATTGATATACAGTTTGATATTTCTTGGACCAATAACTCGGGTTAAGAATGACACAAATCCGCATTTCCTTCCGTTTTAAGAGCCTCAGTAAGTCGATGTAAGAAATCTGTTAAGGCTATGGTTCTCTTAATGTTATATTTTTTCTGCCGATTTAGATCAACTTAAGATTAAATAAAAATATGACTGAATATCTGTAGAATGTTATTGCGTTTTAATGAGATCATTTGTTTATCTTTCAGTTTGAACGAGCCTAGTATTATTGGCTGATTTAGCATAAATCAACGTTGATAGTTAATTGTGTTTATTTGTCATATAATTGATTATGAACTCATGTATAAAAGATTTAACTGGGAAAAACGACGTACATTAGTATATCATTCAAAAGGGTAGATAATGGCCAATGAAATCAAAATGTGTTTGTTAAAAAAGGGTTTCCTATGAATATTTTAAAGTAAAACAGTATTCTGTCAATGATATGGTTACTTATCTTCTTATTTATATTTTGAAAATCAGTTCATCGTTGCTGTGGAATATCGAAAAGGGATTAAATAAGCACCTTTATGTCAATAACTTCGGAAATTCCAGACATGTTATATGTACGATCACTACAATGTTACCACATGTATTTAATGTGGATTTGAATTCATTCAAAATTAATAAATAAGTGAAGTTAATAGGTCGTGATACCGCCAATTCCTGTTATGCACCCATCATTGTTATATCTAGTCTTTAATAGATTAATACTATGTTACGGTTATAAACTGACTCGTACAGTGTAGTAAAATTTCTACAGTGCTATTTCACAACATCTTCAGCACTTTCAACATCATGAAAAGACTTGACATATATCTATTATAATGCGCGTTGGCAATATTATTTTTCAAAATAGTAAATGTTTGCGAATCAAGGATATATAATTGATTATTCTTAAACAGATAAATACACTTAAAAATGCAAAACAAAGTGGATATATTAAAATCAGTCATATATATATATGCGAGATGTCGTAAGCAAGTAGCATTTAATTAAAATCAATATATATATATATATTTTATAATATATATATAATGTTTAAATACTAAATACTTTTTTAGATCTTTGTTTTCAAATTGCTTTTTTGGTGCTGCCATCATTGTCTTGCAATGCAAAAAATGTGCATCATTTATATACAAAATCGCTAGTTTAAAAGAAGTAAGTATTGTATTGTCAAATCACAGAATTTATCTTAATTGTCTCAGATGTTGATAAATATATCAGCCTCAAGCTGTAAGATTTTCAGAAACAAACATAATTTATGAGAAAACCACCAAATATTAAGTCAGTCGTAAAACATTTATTAAGATTTTACGCAAGCTGACTGACATAACGACTCTGTCTGAAAGTTGTTGTCGTTTCCCCAGCAACCACCATAAACGAACTGCTCGCACGTTGAATTTTGTGCGTTGTAAAAGAATCGTGGGAATAACCCTTTGCATGGTCCTGTTTCCTTTGGTAGTTTACATGCTGTTGAAAGAAAAAGAATATCGGAAGTCGTTTTTTTAGATGTCAAAAAAGATAACAATAAACACAAGCGAACAATAAAAAAGCTAAACGAAAAACTCCACTCGCGTATAACACATTTTTTTTCACAAAATAAATGCTTAAATAATTATTAATAATCCAGTACACTTATTTGTTTTTATACTTTCTTTTTTTATTACTAAAGTATTTGCTACATTCTAAAAAAACACGTCAGGTATCTGAACATCTGAATTCAGCTTTGTTGTTCAATTGCCTTATTTAGAAGACTATAATAAAATATTTTTCAAAAAAGTACGTAAGATTTTATTTGAACAAACTTGGTAGACACTCACTAGAAATGATTCATGCCAAATATCTAACACTAGCTCTTTGCTTTTTTTTTTAAAGAAAAGTGTTTTCTTTCGGTTGCCATGACAAACTGATTTCTATATAGAATTAAATTGTAAAGGTGACCACCAAAGAAAAACATTCCTGTGAAGTTTGGATTAAATTGGCATGGCGGTTAACCAATAAAAGTAATATTTACGAAAGAATCGAAAGAATCGTAAGATTTCAAAAATCTAGGATAAAAGTGGTAGCCTGCGAAGGCACGTGGAAATATGAGGCCCCGTGTTCACAAATAGTATATCACGATCAAGATTAATTATTGTGATACCACTTCCATTGCTGTGTAGAAATAAAATCAGTCTAATTGGTTAAAATGATAATGGTACATAAATACTTTTAGAAATGCTGATTTGCACAAAAAAAAAAACAAATATGTTTAAACAGAAACATAAGTTTCTCTTCTAGTAATGGTAATCAACGTTGCCCTTTAGTAACATCAACCAGCTTTTGTGCATATAAAATACATACTATCAACAGTCACCGTGTCATTTCCGCTTGTATCACCCAGTGTCTTTCCCAGCAATACCATTGTCATAATACAGACAACTGCCATCAGCGAAACCTTCGCCATGCTTCGTACTTTCTTAAATTATAATGATTTTCAAGTTATCTATAAAATGTCAAGTTTTTTTTTATCGAAAAAGTGTTTGCTTTGTAAAGCAGAACTTATTCCAGTCTCAAATTCAGAATCGTTTGTTCAGTGTGTATTAAGGTTCTTTTTTCATAAAACGCACGATATTTCTGTTACGTAAGAGGTCTGAAAGTACGTACAAATATTGATCCGTTTTTTTTTTCCCATGAACATGAATTATAAACATATATAGTGGGATACCCGAAATTTGAAAACCCCAAAAAACCCCCCGCAAAAGTATTTCTTAGGTGACGCGTGCCCGGGCCGGACCCCAAAAAAAAAATCAGATTTTTTGAATTTATTAAATTTTTTGATTTTTTCAAATGAATAAAAAACAGCCAGCTAGGAAAGTCAAACCCGGGCGTCAGGGACGGCCATTTTTGAAGTATAAAAAACTTTTACATATATTGGTAGCCTTTCACACGGACTTATTGTCTTAAATTGGTTAGTTCAATCACCGACAAGTATGTGTGATGTTTGCTGCAGAGAGTATAGCTAAATAAGCATATAAATCAGTAAATGTTACATCAATTAATCACGTTTGATTTTTTATTTGTTTATTTATTTATTTAATTCATTTTATTTGTGTCATTTCTTTCTATTAATAAGTACAAATTACCGTTTACATTTCATGAAATAGACAGGAAAATGGTGTACCCTCTGATTCTTAAAAATTTCAAACCGACAATCCAAATAATTTTTGAAACAGAAAATAAAGTTGTATCATTGGAGTACATGGCACTTTAAGAGAAACTTTCCACGCGTTCGGATTGATCTATAGTTAAATTCTAAAAATAGTAAATAACATCTGATGATTTTTGAGCGGTTTGTTCCTCTATAACAGTCGTTCCAGTACTGTAACATAATTGTTGAATTGATTGATTGATTGGTTGA